CTTAATAATAAAAAATTTTCGAACAACTCTTAAAAAAGTTTGATGCAATTTTCCTTCGAGAAGGATGTTTTTCTCTCTTATTGAAATTCCTGGATATCTTTCTAGAAATTTAAATACAATATATATTACATATGTACCATCTACATTTTATATTTTAATAAAAAAAAGAAATTATTTTTCTAAGCTGTACCTTAATAAAAAAGAAGAGGTGCGCATATACACAACGCACAATACACGTGTACACACTGCACACATTTCAGTTTGTTTAGACATAAGATAGGCCCCTGCATAGGGCTCATTCACAGAACTGAAATATTTAGACCTATTCGGTCCAACCCTCGAGACCAATTCAAGCCCTCGTGAACTTTGACTTTTCGGCACATCAGGAAAGTCTCTGTCCGCCTCGACGACCGGGAGCGGCGCAGGGGGTGGCGGTACCGGTGGCGGCGGGGGCGGCGGCGGCGGCGGCGGAGGAGGAGGAGGCGGAGGAGGCAGCGGTGGCGGCAGTAGTGGTGGTGGTAATAACGGTGGTGGCGGTACTAGTAGCGGTAATGGTAGTGGTAGCGGCGGCGGCAGCGGCGGCGGCGGCGGTGGTGGTTCCACCGCGGCCGCCGGCGGGGCTGCCGGGGGCGGTGGCGGCGGAGGCGGCAGCGGCTCCCTGAGCGGCGGCGGAATCGTCGCCGTGAAGCAGGAGACCAACGTCGAGCTCGCCGGCCTGGGCCACGGCTCGTACACGATGGTTGACTCGACGACCTTCCTTAGCGGGCAGCAACAGAGGGTCAGCAACCCGTCTGAGGATGACGAAGTGCCGAGTCTGCCCAGTATGTCCCATGCAATGAGATGTGAGGTTACGTTTGTGTCCCTTTGCATGCCCTCATCTCCCCTAGGCTCACTCCTGCTCGTTCCCTATAGCAGGGAAGTTTTGGAGGACCAAACGAAATTTTACAGGAAAATTTTGTGGTGAAGTTTCATTAAGAAGAGATTTATCAGAATTGATTTTAATAAATCTCTTAAGCTCTTGCACTCCATTTTCTACAAAATGTTTTACACACACACACACACACACATACACATTTATGTAGTATAAAAATTAGATACAAATGCTGTACAAAAAATTGCTAAACTAGACATACCTGGAGAAGATATAATTTGCTGTATATTTCAACAACGC